GGACGACTTCGTCTGCCGCGCCAGGCCGAGGGCTTCGACCGGCCGCCGGAGGACCACGGCGCCTGCGGCGCCGACGCGCCCTACCTCTCGCGCGACGGGGACCACGTCTACGAGGACCTCGACGTCGAGATCCCCCTCACGGTCGAGGAGCGCGACCTCCAGCCCCAGGCGCCCCGGCGGACGGCCGTCAGCGAGACGGACTACGACCCGCGCGGCCCGGGCGACGCCCGCGTCATGGAGAGCGAGTACGACCCGCGGAGCTTCTACTGAGGAGGAGCCCCCTAACCTGTGCCTCTGTCACACGTCCCAAAAACGGCACCGTGACGGGGGGCGACACCGGCCTCAAACTCGGCCCAGCAGGCCCAGGAACGTCGCCAAATCACTGCATAGGCTGATGTGAGCGCCCTGAGCGCGTAAATGGACTTGTGGGGACGTCTGGCGACGCGGTCGGAGCGCTCGGAGGCGTCGAAAATCGACAAAATCGATATAATGCAAGCATTTCATTGGTCGGATTCGAATCCGCCGGCATCCAGCAGCCCCGGAGCGCCTCGAGGGGCAGCCCGGCTCGTCGCGCGTGGCCATGGAGCGCGACGCCTGGAGTCAGGGTGGCGGCGGTGGACACCTCGTACCCATGGGTGACTCCGGAGGTGCTCTGCTCGCGGGAATTGGCTGTGTCGACGAACGCTTGGGCGCCGGAGCGGCGATTCCCAGTGGCGGCACAGCTTCGAGCGCCTCTGTGGCAGCCCCAGGGTGGCACCACGCGCAGCCGAGCGGCGAGTACCACGCTCTAGTATGTCGGCGAACACAGCGCCGCGCCATGGACCGCGCCGTGACCGGAGCCATTCGCGCGGCGGCCTCGAACGACTTGCATGGCGCACAGCGTCATCGAGTGTACCTGGTTGGCCAAGGGGCTGCTCACGTTAGTGTTGGGGCCTCCAGGCAGGTCGAACGGACCCATGGACCAGATCGGACGCAAGAACGCGACCGCCAAGGTCGAGATGCGCATCACAGATCGATTCGAGCACACCGCGGCCACTGCGCGCGCGCGCGGTCGCCATCGCTGCCCGGACTTCCACCAAGACCTAGGCCCCCGGCCCTTTTCCCACGCGCGACGGGTCGGGTAAGTAGCGCCCTCGTCAATTTGGCGGGGTTAAGGCCACCATGCTCGCGCGCTTGGACGGCGTCGCGGTCTGGTGTCGCCCCCCGTCGCCGGGGCCGACGTCTCGCGATCGCACCCTGCCCTGAGCGCCCCCCCCCGTCCGCGAGCAAGCGCCTCACCCCCTTAGTCAGGTCCCCCGCGGCAGCTCGTCGGGCGTGGCCTGCTCGTAGTAGCGGCCCGCGACGACGAGGAGCGCCATGAGCGGCGCGGCCTCGGGCGCGCGCGCGTCCGGGAGCGCGTCCCGCAACACGCACAAACGCTTCACGAGCTCCCGGAGCACGGCGGCCGTGTCGCGGTGCACGGGCTTCTCGAGGCGCGCGAGGAGCGCGTAGAGCCAGAGCGCGCGGTTCCGGCTCAGCGCGCAGCGGCCGAGCCAGCCGCACTGCATGACGACGAGCCGCTGCGTCATCACGCCGTCGAACTGCAGCACGAGGCGCGTCGTCGGCGCCGTGCCCCCGGGCGTCGCCGCCACGGCGGGCGGCGCCGGCGCCGGCGCCGGCGCGGCGGCGGGCGCGTCCCCGGCGGCCGGCTCGTCCTCGTCCTCGTCCTCCTCGTCGTCGTCGTCGTCCTCCTCCTCCGCGTAGGGCTCCGTGTCGCCGAAGCAGAAGGCGTGCCACCCCCGCAGGTCCTTCATGCGCGGCACGGCGACGCGCGCGTGCTTCTTCGAGCCGACGCCGCGCGCCGCGT